TCCAAATCAATTTCAGTACTTTTATTTTCAACTGTTGCGCTGACACACAACCAGTTCTCAGCCACACTAAGCCCATGTGATGACACCATGAGATATCGATCAAGACAGACATGTCTAGAGTTCCCCCTGATCTGCTTCCTGTGAAAGATGAGGCTAGTGATCTGCGTGTGCATATAACAGCTGCTGGCACGCAACCGAACGGACGCAGGAACATTTGCGGTGGATGGTCCCTTCTCAGTCCTTATAGATATTTAAGTGGGGTGACGATTATGCAAAATGTACTACTAGCTGAGAGACATTTATGTCATAGGATGATTCCATATTGCTCTTAGTTACATGTAATATGTCCAGGGGAGCATCTGTAATCGCATATTTCCCTACTATATAGTAGGCGAAAAACAGTATGTGAACAAAATAGCATGTCTGAATTCACAGTATTCATAAAGCAGTAGTCAAAAAGTCCCCGGATGACCTACTGTTTCCGGCGAGATTCTGAAGCGCACATCCAGCGGACACTTTACTCACCCATGAGGCCACGGGAAAGGATTTGTGAAGGGCAGTAAAGTGATGCAAATGATGCCGGTAGGTCACATGACAATGACAACATGACGACTGGAGTACATCCAGAGTACATTCATAATACACACTCATTTTACATTTTTACATAAAGCCTACTTTTAACGGTCGCATAAGAAAAATACTTATTTAGAGAGTATGCGTTTGCGGATGCAGCCCCTAGTGGAAAATGATGTAACTACACTATCTAAAAAAGTTCTCCATTTCTCCAATATACGTACTGAGAACAATATAAAGCATATATAATTCCCGTACTAATTTGTTCCCTCATTTCAATTTAGTTAAGAATAAAGCGAGAAAGCAAATCACGATTTGCCTCGCATGAGGGAAAAATGAATAAAATATGGCCATGAATTAACAAATCATGGGGTTAATAAGAATTTGTATAAATGAACTCTTCATTTTTGGGCACAATATAATTTTTTTTCTTCTGCATATCATGTGCGTGGCTCCATACCAATATATAGATGCAAGCAAATCACAAAATATTTTATTACATTACAGTTAATTTTTTACGTTAGTTTTTTTTTTTTTTGAAGGGCTCTTAAATATGTAAAATTTACTTTTATTCATTTTTACATTTTATTTTTTATTGTTTCATTTTATTTTTTACATTTTTATTAAAACATTGGAAGAGATGTGGAATGGTGGGAAGTCTGTTGTGAATGATTTCATCTAATTATAAAATGTAATTTTATGTGTTGTCTTTCAGTAATATTAAGGTACTATGTAGGAATTAGCTTACAGACAACAAAAGTTAATCACTCACCTTTCATGGTTTGCTTTATGCAAAATATTTCTTTGTTTAAAAACCATGCATACATTTCAATAAAAAATACACAAAACATATTTTAGATAAACAAATATGAAATATAGAAATGAAGATGGCAATTTTTTTAAATGTGAAATTTGAAATCCCAATTTTCAGGATTGATACTATCAGCATAAAACATTTCACGTTTGCAATAATGGATGCAGTCTGAATTGCACAAACCCATGCGCACAAGTAAGTCAGCAGGGAAAAGCAGCACACTGTACCCTACACCCACTCACAGCCTCTGCTGATGACTGCCGTCATAGCAACAGATAGACATAACTACCCACCCTTACACACAGTCCTGTATAGAGCAGAGCCTTACACACATACACATATCTCCAGTCCCATGTGAAGCTAGACACACTATACATCCATATAATTCCATTTCAGAAGGCATTTCAATGAAGGTTTACCTCCACCACATAGAGTTTGAAGCATGACTGCTCAATACTAACAATTCAAACAGTACCAGAGGACAGCGTAAGTGTCTGAGAGGCCTACTGGAACACAGTGCGGCCCAAACCAGCGGTTGTGATTTCGACAGAAAGAGTGACAAACATTTCAGGGAAGAGACTTTAGTGGGCTAACCACAGATGACTGACCACTTTTCTCTGGAAGCAGATGCTCGCTTCTCTCTTTGGCCATAGCTGAAAAGGGGAAAAAGGCAGGGAGGGAGTCAGCAGGGTTTTGAAACCCACTTTCACTTCCCAAAGCAAAAGGCTATTTCAATACAGCTGGTTCTACCCAGTGCTTCCCTGTGCCTGTTGCTAACTTTTGCTGAGAGGGAGCGTTTAGGCTCAGGGTGTGTACAAGAGACAGACCTATCAGTTAAAAAACAAAGTCAAAAAATTTAAGTTACTCACTTGAATCCATGTAACTATGCGACAGAGTGCAGTTTTATGACATGACAGTTTGTCCCAAAGCTTGCCTGCTCTCCTGCTACACTCTCAAAAGTATTAAATTTTTTCTTCTTCACAAAAAGAGTACATACTTTTAGGCAACATCTGATTCGGTAGTTGCTAGTTGGCAGGGGGAGGGGCATGTTCATTCTAGGGGGCATTTGATTGGATGAAAATCTGTTTAGTGCTGAATGAGTCACCAAAATGTTTTGTTTGTTTTCCTGGAAAACTTATTTTTAAACCGTACATATTTTTGTACTTTTTAGAGTACACTACAATATGGATGACTTCAAAGCTAATAGGAAAAAAGCAAAAAAACTTGATTAAATGGGGTCAAGCTGTTCAGAACTTTACTGAGCAGAACCTCTGCGCTCAGTTTTCATGGAACATCAATGAGATGTGGATTTTTGTAAAAGATTTTGAAAGCTTTTTTCAACTATGACACACAATTGTTTATACTTTCAGCACACTGCATGTGTATCTGTATGTTGTGTCTGACTCAGACACACAGCACTTGGAGTTACACAAACGCACTCCACGCTCACTGTTCACTCAAGGTCTCCTTGATCGCCCACATTATTTCATGATCTGCAGTAGTATTTCTCTCTCTAATCACTTGGTTGAGTACTCTAGGAATGTGTTGCTGGAACTCCCCTGAGCTGAGAATTCAGATTTAAAGGTTAATATTAATCTATTTGAAATATTCTTTATATTTTATCAAACTGTTCTAGCAGATGTGTGTGTGTGTGTGTGTGTGTGTGTGTGTGTGTGTGTATGTGTATGAAAAATCAATAAGGAGATCTCTCAGTTGTTCCGAGTGCAAATGGAGACTTTTGATATTTGGAGACTATTTTGAAGTCACCAGGTTTCAGATTTTTCTTTTGGGAAAAAGTTTTCTGGTTTTATCTCTCTATTTCTTTTACATTTCAAGCCATTTTAGGATCTGAGACTATGTTGATACTTAAAGAGCTCCACTGAGTCTCCGATATTTAAAAGCAACCTCTCATGATCAATACAATTGTCCTCAGGGGACATGTATCTATATGAAAATTAATTACAAAATAGCTGATTCACAACATCTGGTCATCAAGGTACCACATTTCCATTTTTTTTAAAATTATTATTTATTTTATTTTTTTAAATAATGATTAACATGTTTACTTATTTTAATCATTTTTCCCATGACTTTTCCAGTCAGTCATTTATTATTATTGGATGAGTTCCAGGCCTTTAACAGTGGCATTTTATTTATATTCATGCATTTGGCTGACATCTTGATCAAAAACAACTTATATTGTATTTAAAGTATGCATTTTATCAGCACATGCATTCTATAGCAATCCAACCTATGGCCTTAGTGTTGCTAGCACCATGCACTACGTTTGAGCTACAGGAAAGCTAATATAATATAAGATAATATAAATTAATAAGAGGTTATATGCTGCCTAGTAGAATTATCATAAAAATGAGTTTCCTAGTCAGAAATTGGACACGAATGGCCTCTCAAAACGTATTTACAACTGGGAAACTCAGAGATAATTTTGATATCGAAGTTTCAGAGTTGGATGGGCCATAAACTTTACACATGGTGGAGGAGAGAACTATTGCTGTAGTGACTGTCAAGTTTATTTATTTTTCTCACAACATCTAAATGTCCAATAGCACGTGAAGGCAGCATTTAACACATTCAAGAAAACACTGATCTCTTACCACAATCACCTTCATGGAACTGTTCAGTTTTTAGAAAAAGTAGCTGCAATCTAGAGGTGACTTTAAGCAGTCGGGTTAAGGCTGCTTTGAACAGGTTTGTGTCGCCTCCAAATTCTGTGTAAAGACACAATAGTGCATAAAAGCCTATAATGCACATGCTCTGACCCACCTCAGCCCCTAGTATCAGGCTCTGATGCTGCTTTTGTTTCAGCGTAAGGCCCTGTTCACACTGACAGCAATTAAACTGATGAAGGTCTCAGAGTTGCTATGATGTTGGTTTCCCATAGGTGTTCCTGCTTTCCTCCTTTGCTCAACTTTTTTTTTGCTTTGCCAATGGTGTCTGTAGCTCACTTTGCCAAAAATCAACTTTTTATTGAAAATGATGTCCGTTCACTGCAGTGTGAACACCCTTAAATCAAATATAGCACCAAAGTAGATGCACTGTATATATTTTCCATATTTAAATGCTTATGATTTATATTTTAATTTTGTACTTTATAATGACACATTTTCATTCACCCTTTCATGTTTCTATATTCATTATTTCACATCTTTAAAAAAATCATTATCCAAAATAATTAAATGTAAATGCACCTATTTACCCTGGATACACTTAATAAATTATATAAAAACAAATAAAAAAATTTTAATAAAAAATAAAATAAATAAATAAATAGCATGTAAACAAACAGTAACCTCTGGTCGAAAACTGGTTTCTGTGGGACACACATCTTCTTTGTGTTGATTTGGGCTATCTGAACGCGTGCACTTCCTGGATCTGGACTGTCCCACCGCACATGGGACGCCGCTCAAACCCATCCATCCTACCGCCTCGAGGGTCAGCAAGTATGCCTCATATCTCACGTTACACACACAATCCCGTTCTCCGCGTGGACAGCGTCGAGGCTCCAGCTCATTCTAACAGGTGGCGCGCGATTTCAGGTGGAGCAGCAGTTCATTCACTGAGCCGACGGCGAGCGAGCTTCAACGAACGCCGAGAGGATCACTCGCTCCTCATTATGAGCATTCTTGGGCTCCTACGCGTATTAACACAGTCTAATCGTCGTATTTAGGGTATTTAGGCGAAGGACAGATTGGTTTAATTAGCCTCCAGTTTACAGGTGGGCGAAAGCCGTTTGTAGGACGGCCCCTCTTTCAGTTCCTCAACAGGAGACGCGGGACTGTCATTTGTTTGCCATCCTGTGGGACAGAAGAAACGGCTCCGTTAACAGGTGCGAGGATAGACAAATACAAAGGCGTTAAGTCGTGTGTTTGTGCAGTACGCGATTAGAAGGATATTTTCATTTGTGTTCGCGGTAAATTAGGAGCTTTATCTACATATCTAGAATATCTCCGAAGCCTCTTTCGTTCCTGAGGAGGTCCGACAAAGCCATGTCAACCAAAAAACGGGTGGATTTAACAAGAAGGAGCCGAAGCCCCGCGGTGTCTGAGGCGGAGATGTTTGGTGATTTTCAGGAGTGGTGCCTCCGCACTTACGGGGACTCCGGCAAAACAAAGACCGTCACCCAGCGAAAATACAACAAAATTCTGCAGACCCTCGACGACTCGAATGGAGTCTATATCGAGAGCAACCACATCAACGCCAAATTTAAGTTCTGGGTCAAATCAAAAGGTTTCCAGGTGGGCAACACTGACGGCAAGCCGAACGAGAACGGGGCAGCGGACAGACCGGTCCTGTACGTTCCCATCAAGGCAACGGTTAGTATGGGTGCTCTTTTCCCATCTGCTAATAAAACGCGTAATATTGCCCGATTTTGCCTATGCGAATTCTGAGCCACGCGCACAATGGCGCACTTTACGCGTCTCGCAGCCGGTGAATCTCGTTCAGGGTTGTATATCTGTAGTTCAGCTCATGTCTCTCTCGGGTCTTTGGTAACCACTTGTTCGTGTGCCACTCCGCCCGGTATCCACGGGAACCGTGGCAGCTCTGCCACCCGATTGTCCGGAAACTCTTTCTGTTACCACTATCAGTCACTGACAATGAACACCAGTTTCAGGATATTAGTGAAATGTAGAGCTAACAAATGAAATGCATTTTGAAATGTGCATTTAAGATGGCATACTAGGTTTGCCATCTCTCTCTCTCTCTATATATATATATATATTAAAATATGCAGGCAATGACTGGAATATACCTCTTTATGATGATGTTTTCAGTTTTTGAAGGTTTTTCAAATTCTGAAAGGTATATTTTGTGGGGCTTAAAGAAAAAAAAAGTCCAGAAATTGTTTAAAAAAATCATTTGAAAAATGCTGGCTCTATTTTTTTTCCATAATATTTATTATATTGTATAAATTTTTTATTTTATTATTAAAAGTAGTCGTCATATTATACATAAATCAGCAGTGAAAAATATGGTTTTAAAAAGTAAGTGTAGTGTAACCAGCATGCAGGAAGACATATTTGCTGTCATGTGACAAGAAAACCAGACAACCGAGAGGACACTTTTGACCCTCATGAGTGCCTTTAAAAAGCATAACAAATGTTAGCCATTTTATGTAAATGCACATTTTGTTTGGGTCAAATGGAGTTAACCTGAGATAAAGGATTGAGATTTTTGACTTTATAAAACTTCAATTTTTTGTACCTTGACCTTTGAACTTGAGTAAACTCAAGTGTATTAGAAGTGCATGAAAAGTATTTAGTTCATTTCACTTGATAGTTAAACCAGTTGACATTCCTAAAATTAGTACATTAAACTATTTGTAGAAATTGCTATAAATGTTTTTGAAAAAATGTAGGAAACCAACATGAATACAATGAGTACATTTCTACGAACTTGTCATTTATTTTAAACTACATTTTTAAAATGCCTCCCTTTTTATAATTTCAGACATCCTTACAGTGATCCCAATGTGTTTGTGTAGGGTTAGTTGGACACTCTCATGTCAGTTTGTAACTATTTAAAGTTAGTAAATTGTTGGGAATTCGTAAGAATTTGACCAATCTCATTCAACTTTTTTGTCCAATCTGCTTATGCTGCCCCCATTCATGCATTTCTCTTTTTTTTTTTGCATTTTTACCATTAGCAAAAGCATTTAGTCAAATAGAATGATATTTGCTTCAAACTGTGCTTTTTTTCTTTCTTTTTTTTTTTTTTTTTTACAACATTTATATATTGAGACCTGTTTTACAGAAAAGATGCATGTCTTTTATAAGAATGACTTGTATAACCCGTGCTTGCGTTATCTTTCAAATGATTCATCTTCAAAATGTCTTTTTCTGAGCTGAAGAGTTCAGGTTTCCAAGCCGTTGACTTTATTATAATAATTGACTAAACCCAAACACACCTGCCAATTTGGTTCACCTGTGTAGCTTAGTGAGACAATATGGCAGTGTGTGGTATTATTGGTGAAAAGGCAAGTTAGAAATGTGTGTTTGTATGAGAGCAATAGGGAGAGGTAAAGAGGCAGAGACGAGGTGAGCAGGTCAGCTCTCAACAGAACAAATGAAATAATGAGGAGCCCAGATGAAGATTCATCTTATTACCATTTCACTGATAAAGGATGATGAAAAAGTTAAGATGGATGCACCCTCCGCGCTCTGTGTACCCTCATAATGAAGAGCCTGCCCCAGATTTGTCGTATTCAAATACTATTTTTGCTCACTTTCTCTTGCTTTGGGTATGTGTGTGTTCTGCTTTCTTTGAGACATACCTCCCATTCAGTTCACTCAGGGGGGCTAATTGACGAGAATAGGAAAAACTGAGAGAAAGTGGTTCCCTCACCATTCGATTAGCTGTGCAGGGACTGTGTTGCAATGTGCACAGGTAACATAAGATCTTGATCACAGAATCCTTTACTTGTAATACAAATTCCAGCCTAATGGAAATCGTGTCAAAGGTCACATAGTGACTTAGGAATTCACTTGATTGAATTTTAAAGGAATAATTTAACTTTAAAATTTAAATTTAAAATTCAGTCATTACTCTCATTCATGTTGTTCCATACCCATATGCTGTTATTTTTTCACTTTCTAAAGCAATGCTATGCAGCTGTTTTCGATTTTACATTTTCAGCTTGCAATGACCAAGACAAAAAACAACATAATAGTAGCCTATATAAAAAATCTTCTGAAATTTTATGTTTTCCATATAAATTCTGAATATAAATGCAGATTATCAGTGAATGTTGATTAAAATTTTTGTCTGTTCTTCACAGAAAACTACAGTATGGCAGAAGAAAATCTGAAACATAGCATTCATAGACTTGTTAACTAAAACTATTAATCATTTTTAGTAAATGAAATAAATCTAAAATAAAATATAAATACTAGACGAGAAACTTATACTTTAAAAACGTAGCTTAAAAATGTTGCCTTGGCAATTAACTGAAATAAATAAGTTGAAGTACTAAAATGGCTAAAACTGAAGAAAAAGCTAAACTGCAATATTAAAAAAACTAAAACTAATAATAATGTCAAATGCTTATAACAAAATGACTCAAACTTAAACTAAAGATTAAAATGAAAATCAATAATATAAAAATAAAAGCAAATTTAAAATATGAAAAAAATACTATAATATGTCAATAATAACACTGACACTTTCACAGTGCTTTTATGATGCTTTTTGGTGTTTTTATAGTGCTTTTTTTGTCCTTCTTTGCGCTTCGCAGCCCCGAGCGATTGTAGATTTTTGAGATAAGGAAGAGTAGCTTTAAAAATGTCTACGAAAGTTCTACTTTTTTGTTCCCTAGAAAAAAAGCAACAGCACATGGGTTTGAAACAACGTGAGATTGAGTAAATGATGATAAAATGTTACTTTTTGGGTGAACTATCACTTTAACATTCTTTTTGTTCACATTACTGAATGTAAAATGTCCAATTTTAAGTGAAAACTAATTACAGTCCTGCAGTCTGATGTTTACTTCTCATTGGTGTGCTTGAGTGTAATCGTAGTTTCGACGTTAGAGCGGATTGATCCGCAGCTCAGTATGAAGATAATGATCAGTCTGTCATAATGACTGACAAACTGTTTTCTCTCAGACGCTTACTGTATCACTCATCAAAACACACAGCTTAAAATAGTGCGAATACAGCAGACATCATTCACACATGTAAAGGGGTCATCTGACTCGCCTTAAATTACCTGTAGCACTACTTTATAATGTATGAAAAGTGTAGGAGAGTTGCATGTGGATGACGTTCATGGGGATGAAGGCATAAGAGGAAAAGAATAAAATATTTTTTTCATGTCAGCGCGCAAGACAGAAACATGACAATGAGATGGAGCAAGGGAAAGCAGAGGGGATTTCCGGAGAGGGACAAAGAAGAAATGATGTTGAGAGAGGGAGAAAGAGGTGGCTGGAGGAAACAGTCACACAGCCATCACATGCAGTTGACACCAGCGTCTGTGGACACTATTAATAGCCCATAACGTTCCTCTCTTTTCCTCCCCTTTCTCTCTCTCTCTCTCTATTTTTTCCGAGCACACTGAGCAACTGTTGCAGAAGAACGCTGTTCTCTCTTTAGCTTTTTTTGTCCTAAAGCTTCTTTTATTTTGTGGGGTGGGCAGGGGCGCCTTAAGATAACCGAAGGCCCCTGGGCTACAGCATTACAGTAGGCCCCCCGACCCCAGAAAACCTTTTTTTTTTTTTTTTTAAGCTTCCTAACAATTATTTGTCAAATTTTGTTTTTTGTCTTGTTAATATGCCAGTTAACATTCACAACACTGTTCTGCGTAAAATGTGAATATAAGCGAATATGCAAATTCACTCTTTGCCACAAGGTGGCGCTTGTGGAACAGCAGAATTATATAGCCGTTACATAAAGAAAGGGAAATGACATCAAAACTTTCCTGGCTGAAATGTGAGTTTACAGGTATGATTTAAACACCATAAATCACAGAAAATAGGAATTATTCATCATCAGTAGATCAAAACAACACGGCATGTTGGCATAAATGTGGGTTATTTG